GCTGAATGAAAGGACATTTCCTTTAACGAAATCAGGGAACAAGTTTATAAGTGTTGGAGTGCGAGGTCTTCGAGACTACGAAGTGGTGGTGAAAATATTTAACCCCCAGCTGACAAGAGCCGCAGCCTTCACCAAAGCAGAATTTGCTGAGCTTATCAGGAAACTGCAAGACTATTTACCTCTTGTTCGCAACGTGGAGAACGAAGTTTTATTGTGCGAGTTAACTAAATACAGTGTCTACATGTGTAAAAATAAAGTTTTGCAGTTCAAGCCACCCATCGAAGATGTTTACGAACCGCTGCATTTGAGTGTTGAAACCGTTCAAACGCTGTTAAGTGTTAGCCCATTTTTTAAAAATCTGTTGGAACAATGTTGCATTCAGCTGCGAGTTTTTCCAAGCTACGATATATTCATTGATTCACTGGCAACTGAAATCATGAGTAACGGTGGTGGAGACGATCAGCACTTTGATGAAACAGTGCTGAGCCTCATTACAGAACGCTGTGAATGTAATCCTGTTTTATATGAGATATTTTTAAAAATGCCTCAAACGTTAAGACATCATACGCAAAACAGGATTGCCTATTACAGGGAATACAATGATTACAATTACCCTTTGTGTAATGATATATAATTACTTGTATGTGAAGAGATATAAATAAATAAATAAATAAATAAAAAAGTATTTCATTTACATTTTAGGGGGTAGAAAGAGAGGGAGATATTATTATTATTATAAAATGTTTAGTGAGCTTAGTTAAATGTTAGTTGCTTTAAAAGAGTGAGAACGTTTCGGAAGCAGTAACAATAATAATAATAATAATGTTATGTTTCAAGACTCCTTTTACGGCTATAATTGCTGGACCGACAGGTTGTGGTAAATCATATTTTGTCACAAGATTCTTGAAAAATTTAAAGACGTTGTGTGATACTGATTTTGGAAAAATTGTTTGGTGCTTTGACGAGTGGCAGCCTTTGTACGAATCTAAAGAAATACAATATTTGAAGGTGGAATTTCGCCAAGGTATCCCTGATTTGAGCTGTTTTGATGGATTAGAGCCTACTTTAATTATTATCGATGATTTAATGAGGGAAACAAATGGTAACGTGGTCGATATATTCACTAAAGGTAGTCACCATAGGAATGTTAGTGTGATTTATATTACGCAAAACTTATTCCATCAAGGTCGGGGTCAAAGAGACATTTCTCTGAATGCAAATTACATTATATATTTCAAAAATCCGAGAGATAGAGCTCAGATTAGTCATTTAGCTAGACAAATATTTCCGGAAAATGCAAAGTTTATTCAAGAATCATATACTGACGCAACGTCAAGACCCCACGGTTATTTATTGTTAGATTTGAAACAAGAAACTCCGGAAAAATTTAGATTTCGAACCAATGTGTTGCCAGATGAACATCCGATGTTTGTGTACCTGGCAAAAAAAAGATATAAATATCACAGTGCGATTCACAATTCTCATTACTAACTGTGATGTCGCGTTTAGTGCGTGAAAACGAAGACGTGCTAAAGTTTTTGCGAAAAGCTAAACCTAGATATCGAAAAGCTCTTTTAAATTCTGCAGACAAAAATCTTGTACATTGTATATGTGAATGTGTTCATAACACTTTACTAGGAAGAGTGCCGTTAAGCAAAAGTCAAAAACTTCAACTCGTCAAGTATAAGAAAATTTTAAGATCTCTAGTAAAACGTCGCGAGTCCTTTGCCAAAAAGAAAAAAATTATTGTGCAAAACGGTGGTGCTTTTCTCCCTTTATTACTAGCCCCTATCATATCAGGTGTTTTGAGTTCGTTAATAAATAAATAAAATGGAGCATGCCAAAAAAATGGTTTTGGTAGACCCAAATGTCCTTGAAAGGGTGCAACAAATACAGAGTGCGCAACCAGACACCTTATCACGGATGGATCAAGAAATGCATTCTGTTTTAAATTTAAAAAATATGAATGATGCTGAAAAATGGACAATGTATAATCAGATTTTGCAAAGATATTTGAATATATTGAATCACAATCGCAAACCTTTGGAAGTACCTATTATGGAATCACAAACCAAAAATGTACCATCACAGTTACCAGTAGCAGCGAACGCCGATGGAGAAAGTGTTGAATTTACAGACATTCTGTCGACGATACCTAAACAGTCCAAAACTAAAGCTTCAACATTGTTGCAAAAATTAAAAGACGCTGGTGTTACGTGGGATAGTCGAGGGGTAGTGAATACCGGCTCAAAACATATATCAGGTTCTAATATCATTGATCTGATAAACGACATTGTTAGGAATACTAAAACGGAGCCAATTGGTTGGCCAGAGTTTGCCGATGTTTTACGGGATCTCAACATTCCTAGAATTCTGATAGTCAACCAAAAACGGCTGGCTTATATTAATCAAAGTCGTACCCGTTCCGAAACTTCGTCGACGGATGCAGGGTTAGGGCTAAAACCTATAGGTTCATCGTCACCCACATCACCTGTCAGTTTATATGAAGATCCTGAACAGTTTACACCGCAACCAAGTAGTCAGACGAAAAGACAACGGTTAAAGTGGGCGAAATTTTCACTTAAATAAAATTATGGAAAATTTGCGTCATCATTATTACACGCCGTCGGACCCTGCAAGTTTTTCCAGTTTCAATAAATTGGCAAGAAGATCTAAAGTACCGGTGCGTCGTGTTAAGAAATGGCTAGAAGGGGAGGACTCGTACACGTTACATAAGCAAGTGCAAAAAAAGTTTCCCAGAAATAAATATCTAGTGACAAATATGAACGAACTTTTTCAAGCTGATTTAATAGATATCAAAAATTTGAAAAAACACAACGATGATGTAGGATATTTGTTGAGCGTGATTGATGTGTTTTCTAAATACGCCTGGGTGAAGCCGTTGCAGTTTAAAACCGGGAAAGAGGTCGCTTCAGCATTTCAAACAATTTTCAACGAGCGTGTACCTCTAAACATTCAAACTGATAAGGGAAAGGAATTCTTAGCTAGTAGTGTTCAAAAATTGTTTAAGAAATACGGTATAAATTTTTATGTAGCGAAAAATTCTGATGTAAAAGCAGCTGTTGTCGAGCGTTTTAATAAAACTTTAAAAACAAAAATGTTTAAGTATTTTACTTACGCAAATACCCATCGCTACATCGATATTTTAAAAGATCTTGTCCTATCATATAATAATTCTTACCACCGAACTATTAAAATGACACCTAGCGAAGTGAACGTTGACAATATTTATAAAGTTTACTGCAATACTTATAATTCTAAAAAAGTATCGGCGAAAAAGAAATCAAAAGTTTTATATAAAGTCGGAGACTATATGCGAATTACTCGCTTTAAGCATGTGTTCGAAAAAGGGTACGTGAATAATTGGAGTGGGGAGATATTTCAAATTACTGACGTCATAGAGCGAGACCCTGTGGTATATAAAATAAAAGATTTGCTGGACGAGCCAGTAGACGGTGTATTTTATCAGCCCGAAATTCAACGTGTAGTGTATGACCCTCAGAGGGCCTTTCATGTGGAGAAAATTTTGAAAAAAAGATATAAAAACGGCCGTTGCGAAGTTTTAGTTCAGTGGAAAAATTATCCTTCAAAGTTTAACACGTGGATTACCGAAGATTCTTTGCATCAAATATGACAAATCGCGACAATTTTTATCTTACTTTACCTTCTGACAGTTCAAAAAACTATTTTCCGAATAATACCACCACACACTTTTGTACGCAGTTGCCTAGATCGTTACATTTGGATGGCGAATGGTGTGTAGGTTTGACCGAAATTCAGTACCCTTGTTCTTTTTTAACAATACAAGAAGGAGAGAACATCATCTACTTAACTTACAATGTTAATTTTAAAAACGATTTAACTCGCGATGTGTTGACTGCTTATCTCGAAGACGAGCATACATCGAATTGGTTTCGTCAGCAAATGAAACATCACAATTACGAATCAGTCGATGAAATTTTAAATAATGTAAATAGCGAATTTATTCCCGTGGATTACTTGAAACATGTCACTCAAATTGACGCCGGAAATTACGAATCAATAGAGTCAGTACTGACTACGTTAAATCAAAATGTTGTTTTGAATAAAAATCGCATAAAATTTACGATTGATGGCGGAACGAAAAAAATTCACGCAAGTTGTTCTAGCGGAGATATGATTTCTTTAGTCCTATCACCGCGGCTAAGTTTGCAGTTAGGTTTTGTGCCTGAGACAAATATTTTAAACAAAACATCCAATCATCCAGCAAATATCTTATTAGGGCTGCCGTCGCAATTCTTTATATACAGCGACATAATAGAACCACAACTGGTCGGCGATGTGTTGGCCAAGGTTTTGAGAATAGTAGTTTTGGACAATACACACTACACGTACGGTGCGCAACGTGTACATTTCTTTTCCCAACCGCATTACGTACCAGTACTAAAACGCGAATTTGAAAATATTGAAATAGATATAAGGAATAACACTGGCGAGAAAATACCATTTCAGTTTGGAACTGTGGCCGTTAAGCTTCATTTCAAAAGATTATTGCAATGAGCGCGTATTACAACGAGTATTATGTAAATCAAGCAGGAAGTGGAGTGGGTTCTATTTATCGAGGAAGCGTCTACCAAAAAGGTAGCGGTTTTGGAAGCTTTTTTAAAGGTTTATTTCGTTCCGTGATGCCTTTGATCAAAAGCGGGTTAAAAACAATTGGGCTAGAATCGCTTCGTTCTGGATCACACATTCTCAGCGATATAGCGAACGAGAGACCTGTAGCCGATGCGTTTAAATCGCGCGTTGTCGAATCAGCTGAAAATTTAAGACGCAAAGCACAAAATAAAATTGGAAAATTGGTGGGCTCTGGGAAGATAAAACGGAAGCATAAATCGTCCAAAAATCAGAAGCGGTCTGTCCGTCGCAAAGTCAACAACAACACCAAGTGCAGAGACATATTTACTTAATTATATCTACATTTTTTTCGATTGTCACAAGTCATGGCTTTTTTACACCCTCATAGTTGTGAATGTGTAAAATCAGAACTAGATTTATTTGCATTACCAACTACCCAAACCAGCGTCGAAAATGGGCAATGGATACATTACAACACACTCAACAGCATCAGTGACGATGGACTTTTGGAATTTGTGATAAACACTGCTGATGAGTATATTGATCTATCACATACATTGCTCACTTTAAATGTGAAGCTTGTTAAAGAAGATGGCGCAAATTTTATTGCTACTGATAAAATTGTGCCCGTTAACAATATTTTACACTCGTTATTTAGTCAGGTGGATGTTTATTTAAACCAAAAATTAATTTCACCCCCAAACAATACATACGCCTATAAGTCCTACATTGAAACGTTGCTAAATTACGGCCCTGCTGCTAAAAATTCTCACTTAACATGCGGCCTGTGGTACCCAGATACAGCCGGTTCTATGGATAGCGTAGAAGATGCTAATGCTGGGAGCAAGAATCGCAGCGTGTTTACTAAAGAAAGCAAAGAAGTCGATCTAATCGGACATCTCAATTGCGATCTGTTTAATCAAAATAAATTTTTAATCAACGGAGTAGAATTGCGAATAAAACTGGTTCGTTCAAGAAATAATTTCGCATTAATGTCTGCAGGTACCAAGGGAAAAATACAAATTAATAACGCAACACTGCTCGTCAGACGTGTGAAAATAAATCCGACCGTGATGCTTGCACATGCAAAAGCTTTAGAACTGACCACAGCCAAGTATCCAATCACAAGAACGGAAATAAAAATTTTGACGTTACCACAAGGTGTACTCTCAAAATCGTTAGATAATATTTTCTTGGGACAGTTACCAAAACGGGTCGCTATATGTTTTGTATCAAACAGAGCTTTTAATGGAGATTTTACATTAAACCCATTCAACTTTCAACATTTTGGTTTAAATTTCATGGTTCTTTATGTTGACGGTCAGCAAGTGCCGTGCAAACCGTTTCAACCTGCCTTCGCGGGTACTAGCAAAAATTATATCGCAATGTACCATACTTTGTTTTCCGGAACTGGGATACATTTTCTCAATGAAGGGAACGATATAGGCCGCGAGGCATACCCGGACGGGTACTGTATAGCCGTTTTTGATTTGACGCCGGATCTTTCAGCTGGTTCGTTAAGTCACTGGAATCTTGTAAAAAACGGAAGTGTTAGATTGGAAGTGTCGTTTAATGAAGGTTTAACGGAAACGACAAACTGTTTAGTGTACGGTGAATTTGACAGCGTCATCGAAATTGATAAAAAGCGGAACGTGGTTGTAGATTATAGCAGTTAAAATAAGATATAACGAATAAAAATCATCAATCAAAAGTCGAATGTTCTTTGGGCAACGTGCACAATCTTTTCAACTAGTACAATGAACACTGTAGAACTGGAAACTTGCTTAGCGAAAATTGCAAAACAGGGCAATTATCACTTTGCTGTCTTTGCTATCAACACTTTACCACTGCACATGAGCCGTCCCGCGTTGATTATTGTAAACGAAGACCCCGATTATATGCCTGGTAGTCATTGGACGAGTGTCTACATCGATGAATATGGTTTCGCATATTTTTTCGACAGCTTCGGAAGGATGCCTCAAAAGAACATTTTAAATTTTATCAAACGAAATGCTGAAATTTGGAGCTACAACTGTCGACAAATTCAAAGCGCTTCTTCAAATCTTTGCGGAAACTACTGCATGTTATTTCTTTTAAACTACACTTTACATAATTCTGTAGACTGTTTCATAAATTTATTTGATGATGACTGTAAAAGCAACGACTTAATTTGTAAAAAAATGTTTCAATATTATTTCCGAGAGATAAATAAATAAGTAATACTAAACAATGTTTTATAATTTACCCTCTGCGGCGTCAAAAGATCGAATAGTGATTCGATGCAGCGCGCAAAATCGGCAGCGGTGGACGGGCGGCGGGCGGGCGGCGGCGGTGGGCGGGCTGCGGCGGCGGGCGGGCGGCGGACGGACGGCGGGCGGCGGAGAACGGGTGGCGGCGGACGTTCGGCGCGGACAGCGGCGCGGGTGGTGGGCGAACGGCGCGGACGGCCGATGGTGACGGCAAAGAAAAAAATCCTCATGACCCCTTTTTTTTCTTATTAATACATTTTTTTTTAATATTAAAAAAAATGTCAGTTATATGTATATATAAGTTTATTCACAATCATTGCATATTACATGTAAATAGATAATAAGAAAGTACAAACTAGATCATAATAATAACGAGAAAATATTGCTTAACTTAGAAACCCGTAAGGTACAGTGTCATACGAATTTTCAAGGCGGCGTCGCTTCGTCACATTAATTCGATACTTTTTGTTCGAATCTTTAGTAATGACATCATATCTTACATTTCTTATTATGATTCTATCATTTAGCTCTAAGAATTCTTGACCTTACAGACAGTTTTGTATGTTTGATCTTTAACAGACCAAAATTTATACGAGTAATTTTTCGGGCCACCGCTAACAAATTCAGAGATATAACTCCCTTCTCCATACTCAACAAGTTCGTCAGTTAGATCGCCGAGGTAATCACCAGTTGGTGGACACCATTCACCTTCACGCTGAGAAAAAATGATACTGTCTGTATCAAAATATAACACTCTGCGATCTAACTGTTCTAGATACTTGTAGAGTTCTAAACGAGCTCCTGCAGTAGTATACGCAGCTATTACCACATTCGCCGTTTTCAAAGGGCTTACGTCTTCTTCTACCCTGTCCCATGTTGTCAATACCACCTCGGGATTTATAATTGTCAAGTTATGTACGGTCGCCGCCGGATTTGTAAGTAATTTAAACAAGTCTATTGGCTTGTTAATAATTTGGGTTTGTTGTGCGTTTTCCTTTTGACCGAACTTTCCCCAAAAACTATTGAGCATTATTTTGTACAAAAAACGCATCCCGCTGTTGTGCCCAATTTTGCCCTTATCTAATAAAATACCCTCCCTTTCAAAATATGAATTGATGTACAAATCCTTTTTTTCTTCCGAATCGCACCATGCCGGGTAGCCGCTGTTTTCTTGCTTCCCTTTCAAGCCACTGTTAATATAGGCTGAAAACAACCCGTCCGTCTCAGCACTCTTATTATATTGCACCACATCGTATTCCCAGATTTCCAAAATCTCTATCACCTTGTACCTTAATTCGAGTGCTTTGCGCAACTCATCGGCCACATACGTCCCAACAAACTGGCGTTCCGTTTCAGCATGCTGACATTCAGTCTGCTGCATTGTTTCAGCGCATGTTCTACACAAAGGGAACGTCAGTTTGTTGTTACATCGGTATGGCAATACAGGGTGATAGAGATTGCGAGGCGGGAGAATGCAACATTTGATCAAACCTTCTACAGTATCTAAATTTACCACACGGCACTCGTTATTTCCAACATAAATATTTACAGGATGACCCACAGGGTATTTTCCGTATTTATTTATGTATGGATATAACGAGCACACATCATAATACAAAATTTTTTCGTCGGGGTCACATTTATGGTATAGTTTGCAAGCATTTGTGCGGCCGCCGTAAAAAGCATCTCGAGGATTGAGAGGCGAAGATTTACGTCCATCCAGCGACTGCACAAATTCTCGCATATCGGCGTTTGTTTTCAATATTTTGGTGTATTCACACTGCCATATTGATATCAAATTATACCCAGCTGCCTTTATCCGTTCTTCTTTCTCTAACGTGTTTTCCCGAGCCAAAAAAAGTGCATCATCTTTGTCGGACAGTTTACACGTCTGATTAAAAAAACACTTTTCGCACCCGTGAAACCAACAGCCATAGAATTCGTAGACTGTGTTTGTGGTTTCACAGAAGCCATCTACGAGTAAATTCTCAGGCAACCTAACTTCGCGTCCATTGCCAGCATGCTGAATAAAAATGTTTCCAGCATGCGCCATCCACGACAACCAGTCGATAGCCACATTGGATTGATTATCTGCACGACGGTAACCGTTTCTAGGCAATATCCCTATGCTCTTTTGTTTCAAGAAATTTCGCCTAAAAACAAGATTACAAGCTGAGGCTATTGTTAATGATTCCAAAAATGGATCGACTCCGTTGGCTGAAAGGAAACATTCGCGAAATTTTAAACATCCTCTACGTAACAAATCGACATCGGCGATGCAATATTTTTGGATTTCTTCCGACATTCTAAATTGTACGTTATTTTGCACCTGTTGATTGTGCCATCTGATAAATTTTTCCCGCTCAGCTGGTAACATAGAATTGTGACCGTAGAAATTCTTTTCAGGTATAGGGCCGATGTAGTTTTTATTACCAGAAGTATTAAAAAAATGCGGAAAATACCCCTTGCAGCCCTCTAATTTAAATGCCGATGGAAAACGCGACAAAGGCAGTTGGATAAAATTAAGGCTGTCTATAAACCTTATAGCCGAACCACACCCAATTGTTATTAATTTTGTGCCAGTGCGTATTACCTCAGGTCGCCACCTGCTCACATTTCCAAAAATTTTTTGGAGCACAAAGCACCCGTCGAAACCTTTGTTGTTATGAGCAATAGCGGTTACTTTAAACCTTTTCGACATTTCAGCTATATGCTCTAGCAAATTGTCTACAGGCGATTCGCTATAAATTATCTGCCTCTGACCACAATTAACGCATTCGCCGTAGACATCGTCGCTCGTTATACAGAGACGGCAAGCTTTTTGCAACACACACAGATTTGGCTCGTGCAAATACGTGTTTTCACTAAGCTGCTTGTCCTGCGTTGTTTCCAAGTCGTAAAATATGAATAAAAATGCATGAGCATTTTCTAAAGCCTTGTCAGGAGCTAGCTGATTGGGTAGCATATAGCAAAAATGTCGAATAGGCATATTAGTTCGACAAATGTTGCAGTACTTCACGCCACAAACGTGCTTAGACTTTTTATTATGCCAAACATGAACACGACATCTGGCACATTTTTTTAATTTACCGCACAATTTAGAAATTTTGTGTTTATTCAAACATTCATTTCCACGAAAATACCTTAAACACGAGTCACACTTCACAACTGCTGAATCTATGCGACATGGAGGACTAGCATGACAGCATGGGCATATGTACGGGCAATTTTTGTGTCTATCGCCCCTTGAATATCGTACTCGACAGAGCTCGCAATAATAGGAAGTGGAAAATACACCTGTTAAACTTAATATCACGTTATAGTGATCTTCTTCTTTAATTAAATTTAAACACTTCCTATTTGGAGCTCTGTCACCCTCAAAATAAACAGAATTACCATCTCTACTATTGTAGACGACGATTGTGTACTCTGTTAAAAATTGTTGAAAATCATTAATATGACCATAATGTCCACCGTTACGCAAATCGACATTTGCCAAACGGCATAGATTATTGACTGAATTTTTTAATAAGACCTGACCGCGAACCCCCGAAAACTTTTTTTTCAACAATTTTTTATCACAGCCGTTGTCAACAAATTCTTTTGAGATGATTAAAGCTGCACCTAGACATGCGTTGTCATCATTGCGCACTACATATATACTATTTTTTGACAAACTAAACTCATCAAAACTAACAGCTTTACCATCGGTCGCAGACCTACCGTTACCAACAGGCGGTCTCACCCTGTCTATCTGGATGCTCAATTGATCACTGGTGAAGAATGCAGCGTTACTTTGAAGAACAAAAGCAATCACGTCCATGACCACTTCAGGTTTAATTTCTGAGAACTTTCTAAACGAAATTCCCAATGGTCTTTCTGGAAAGTTTTCGTTCTTCATTGTAATTCCTACCATATCGCTTTGCTGAAATTCTCTGCATGCGTGACTCAACAATTCGCCAATCACTTTCTAGAATAGAAAGATAAATTAAAGCTTGAAACAGATGATTTTTTTTTTTTGAAGTATTAATTTACATACCTTTAACCACTGTAACGGCGTATCGTTGGCGTCGATCGCTTCCGATTTAATGGTAAAGTTGAGACATCTAGACAAAATACCAAACCTCTTCACAAATCGCTCTGATTCTTGTTCAATATTCAGATGACGAAGATCCGCTGTCGGTCGTGCGTTAATAATGTGGTTGTTGTTCGGAAGAATTTCTGACGTAAAATATTTATATATATTAGATAAACTATTTCACTTTCTGTCTGCCAGTTTTTTTTTCTATTATTTAAATTAACTCACCATTTTGATTTCGGGGGTTGTTGATACCGGAAATTCTTGGCTCTCTACTACGGCCTAGTTGAATTGGGCTGTTACTGTTATTATTACTTCGCGGATCTTTAAAGAAAAAAGCATTTACTTGCACATACGCTCGGAAACAGAAAACAAATGCGCATTACTTACACTTTGAACTCATTTTGGTTGTAGATGGTGCTGGGCTTCTTTCATTAAAAATTGTCTGACCATTTTGATTTCGACTGCTGCTGCTGAAGATAGAGGAAGTTCTTGGGTTTTTATTGGTGCTACGGTGTAGTTGCAATGTTGCGTTATCACGATGTGGACCTTTAAAACAAACGGATTCACACACGCTCGAAAGCAGAAAAAAGTACATTACTTACAATTTGGAATCCTTTTGGATGTAGATGGTTGCGGATTATTTAGACATTCCAAACATGCTACAGCATTTGCCGCTTGGTTGTCTGCAATCTTTGAATTTTCCACGACACTCAGTCCGTCTCTCTTAGATATAATTATAGAAGACGCTACTCCTCTCACCATCTTGAGTCTTTCAACTTTTACGGGTTCTCGTTTTTCCATTTTCTTAGTCAACAGCGTTTCTAAAAACGATAAATCATTAATATCCTCAGGAAAAAATGAATTTGAAAATCTCCGCAGGCAAATAATGTACTCACCCTTATCCATTTTGGTTCTAGTAAAGTTGAGAAGGCTGGGAGATGCAGAAAAAGCGTCGTCGTCGGCTTCTTGGGTTTCTTGTTTTTGATTTTTATTAAACATAGCATCCATCACCACATTGTAGTCTATTTGAACAACATCTGGAGCTAATAAGAACGATAAAATGAATTATTTTATTTGATGAACTTGATAAAATAATGTTTTTCTTACCATGCAATTCGATTTCGTGCATCAAAGATTCGCAGCACGCTAGTTCATCTGACGTCATCGACATAAAATTTTCTATATATCTTAAATTCACATGTGTTCGAAGTTGACGTAAATTTTCGGGTTCTTTGAAAAAACCGTTGCAAAGTAAAAACTTTAGCTGAACGAGAGTTTGAGAGGATAAAAACATTTCCATGTTATCCATTTGTAAAAATTTAAGCACAACACGAATATTGAAACAACACAACACGACACCAAGTCTGCACTCAAAATAAAACAAATAACTACCTGCTTTTACGGCTTTATATAGGCAAAGGGCTAAAACTTTCACCACCTAATGGTACTATGCGATATTCGCCCCAATGACTTACGAATTAGAATATATTTTCAGTTGTCATGGTGAACACTATTGTCACTTTCAGAGAAAACTTAAGTTTCAAACTTATAGTCTTAAGACGTCTAGTCTACGTTAATAGCTTTTTGAGTACTTTGAAATTCCTTATTACTTGAAAGGTTAGAACAAATACATACACACACACACACACTTGGACATCTGGAGATCTTCTTCAAAGAACATTATGACGAATCAATTGAAGAATTGATTTTATAAGGGTAGCAGCAGAGGCAATGAAAGCGATAGTAATTAGGGTAGCAAAATCGCTGGTAATTAATTAATTAATTAATATAGTTTACTAATTTGCAGCGCTGGTAATTAAGACCTAGCTAATTTGCAGCGCTGGTATTTAATTAATATAGTTTACTAATTTGCCGCGCTAGTAATTAATTAATATAGTTTACTAATTTGCCGCGCTGCTAATTAAGACCTAGCTAATTTGCAGCTCTGGTAATTAAGACATCGCTAATTTGCAGCGCTGGTCATTAAGGGCTAAAGCGCTGGTGATTAAGACATCGCTAATTTGCCGCGCTGGTAATTAAAAAGCAATTAAAAATGCACTAATTGCCCTACCTTACTACTGAGCTGAAATGAAAAATCGAGAAATCGAAAAATCGAAAATTTTAAATATTGAAAAATTGAAATTCCAAAAAAAATTAAAAATCTAAAATTTAAAAATCGAAAAAGTAAAAAGTCGACACATCTAAAAACCCAGAAGTCTAAAATGGAAAAGTCGAAGAACAGAAATATTGAAAAATCCCAAAACTGAGATATCGAAAAACTGAAAAATTAAAGAAAAACTGAAAAATGGAAAACCTGAAAAATTCGAAAACTGAAATATCCAAAAACTGAGAACTTAAAAAGTCGAAAAATTGAGCAATCGAAAAATCCAAAAAGTGAAGTCGAAAAATCGAAACCTTAAGAAAACTAAAAAATGAAAAATCGAAAAATTAAAGAATTGAAGAACAGGAAAATCGAAACCCTCGAAAGTCAAGAAATGGGAAAATCAAAACATCGATTAATTGAAAAAACGAAAAATTGACAGTTTATAAATGTCAAATTTGAAAAATTGAAAAATCGAAAATTTGACAAAACGACAATCGAAAAACAGAAAATCTAAAACCGAAAAGTAGAAAAATCGAAAGATTAAGAAATCGAAACATTCGAAAAATTAAAATATGGAAGAGCTGAAATGAAAAATGGAGAAATCGAAAAATCAAAATTTTAAATATTGAAAAATTAAAATTCTAAAAAATGAAAAATCTAACATTTAAAAATCGAAAAAGTAAAAAGTCGACACATCTAACAATCCAGGAGTCAGAACTGAGATATCTACAAACTGAAAAATGGAAAACCTGAAAAATTCGAAAACTGAAATATCCAAAAACTGAGAACTTAAAAAGTCGAAAAATTGAGCAATCGAAAAATCCAAAAAGGGAAATCGAAAAATCGAAACCTTAAGAAAACTAATAAATGAAAAATCGAAAAATTAAAGAATTGAAGAACAGGAATATCGAAACCCTCGAAAGTCAAGAAATGGGAAAATCAAAACATCGATTAATTGAAAAAACGAAAAATTGACAGATTATAAACGTCAAATTTAAAAAATTGAAAAATCGAAATTTTGAAAAAACGACAATTGAAAAATACAAGAATCTAAAACCGGGAAGTCGAAAAATCAAAACATTAAGAAATCGAAACACTTGAAAAATTCGAAAACATGAGAAACGGAAATATCGAAGAACTGAAATGAAAAATCGAGAAATCGAAAAATCTAAAATTTAAAAATCGAAAAATTGAAAAAACCACAATTGAAAACAGAAAATCTAAAACCGGAAAGTAGAAAAATCTAAAGATTAAGAAATCGAAACATTTGAAAAATTGAAATATGGAAGAGCTGAAATGAAAAATCGAAAAATCGATAATTTTAAATATTGAAAAATCAAAATTCCAAAAAAATGAAAAATCTAAAATTTAAAAATCAAAAAAGTAAAAAATCGCCACATCGAAAAATCCAGAAGTCAAAAATGGAAAAGTTGAAGAACAGAAATATTGAAAAATCCCAAAACTGAAATATCGAAAAACTGAAAAATGCAAGAAAAACTAACGAATCGAAAAACTTAAAAGTCTCAAAACTGAAATGTCCAAAAACTGAGAAATTAAAAAATTGAAAAATTAATAAATCGAAAAATCAAAAAAGTGACGTTGAAAAATCGAAACCTGAAAAAATAGAAAAATTGAAAAACCAAAAAACCTAAAAAATCAATTAATTGAAAAATCGACAAATAGTTTATAAAAGTCAAAAACTGAAAATCGAAATATTTAAAAATCGTAAAAGTGAAGAGAAAAACTGAAAACCGAGAAATTGAAAAATTGAAAAATCAAAAATTGAATAATAAATAGGAGTAAACTGAAAAGTCCCCAAACTAATATTTCGAAAAATTAACAATTCGAAAGTTGAAACAGCAAGAAATTATGGTCGAAACCGGTTAGGATGTGTATCAGATCACGGATCATGGCTTATAAATCAAATCGTTTCCGAACGCTTAGAGTCAACATTGGCCTGAGTGCGCTCTGGTCTGTAGATCAAACAAGTTCTCAGACGACGAACTGTTATTCGTGTGACCTTTTTTCTATTGTAGTTAATTTTATTCCTAGTTAGAAACAACCACTGTTGCCAACATAAGTCGAGGAGCCCTCCACCGTCATTTAATTCAAACTATGACGCTTCTCTATGTTCTCTGTTAAAACCACAAAAAATATATTATTTACTTCTAAACCATGCAGTAAATTAAACAATGAATTCTAAAAGATCTCAATTTTAAATTTCTTCATCTCAAGAAATTTCTTTTTTATAGGTAAACAGCTGTTTTCTTAAATTACATACTACTTATGCAACCAACAATACGAGACTAGTCAACTAACGTGTATTTTTGTCTTTTATAGTAAGCTTCTAAAATTTCATCAGTATACTTATTAAACTTTTGTCTTTTACCGAAAAAAGAAACACCTTTTTGGGAGATATATTTTGGTATATTTATACAGATTTTTGTTCTTATGACAGTTCAGAACATACAAGTAAATTCATTTATATAAATCACTTCAAACTAGTTGTTTCCGTTTGCTTTGTCCATCCTGCTTTATAACCTAGCCTGCATTAAATTCCAATTCGTGTTATCAAGTCCTGACTGAAACTACAACGCGTCGCAGCGACATAACAGACCAAAATTGATTTATGCAGTATAAAAAATATGATCCATGAAAAATGACTCTTTTTCTCCACTATATTCTGGTAATTACATTTAGTTATTTAGTCTCCTCGTTCTTCAACATCAAATTTCATGTTTTCATACATTTGTCTCATAGTAGTACTTAAGCTAACTTATCCTCATCTGACTCAATTTTTCCTTCCCCCTCTACGTTTCATAGACGCTAAACACTGAGGACAATACCACTTTCCTTTTGGAGGCGCAGTGATACCAACACAAGGATAATGAAACCACTCCGTCGGACACTAAAACAAAACAATTACCGACTACCTCGTCATAACCAAGTTCTTACATCTTCGTTATCACAAGCCACCATGTCGCCATAGGACACTTGATTACACAGACAGTATCTCGGTTCGTTCGGGTCATACGTCCACTCGCCGTCGGTCACTTCCGCACTCTGAGACGACACGTCTATGGACGGCGACTCGGGGGCGGCGGCCGACAAGGGGGCGTTCAACATCGCCTGCATCGTCGAAGCCGACGTGGTATTCGAGTTACTGCTAGCCCATTTCCTTCAAAACATCGTTACCTCGCATACTAATAAAAAAGTGAACACCTACTTTTGTTTTTTCTTGTTGTTGGTGTGGTCCTGTTGGATCGCCTGGATGGCAGTTTGCGCCGCCCCGGCCAACTCTCTCCCGATACTGAACTCGTGCCCGTGACTACCCGTGTTTATCGCCTCATACGAAGCTTTAAGACTAGCCGTCCTTCTACCCTGCTGCATCTGCAAGCAACCGTTAGAACACAGTCGAAACTAGCGGACCGTTTACTCGTTGCGTGGCCGCGATGGCTTGCGAGGCGGCGGCCGCGATCGCCGGCCCCGCGCCGATGTGTCCTAAATTGTACGTGACGTTGATAACTTTTATCAATGATGAAATATACTTTGACAACTTTTCCAAAAAGCTCAATTTTTCAATTTTCGACTTTCGAAAATTACGTGAAGAGATTTTTCGTAGATTTAGACGTTCAGAAATTATTCGTAATTTTTATTCTTTGAAAATTTCTAACATTCTTTCCAAAATCGCCGATATGAAATACTGAAAAATGGCATTTTAATTGATTTGAATCCCAAATATTTCTAAAACCATTTCCGTATTGACTTTAGACTATTTTTCTTAAGAGGCACAACATACATACCAATTTTTTCGTGATTTTTTCACCACTTAGATTTTTTGGAATAGTACGAAATAGTTTCCAAAAAAAAAAATTCTAGCATTGTTCCAGGGTTTTCGATATACGTCTGCAATTTTGGGGCTCAATTCGTTCAAATCTTTTATCTGGATTTTTTTATATATAGGTAATTTTTTGCAAAAATTCAATTTCTTAAATTTCGTTCACCTAAAATTAAAATTTTTAATGATTTTTTTCATTATTTTTTACCTCTTGAAAATTTTTTTTGTACATTTTAAAAATTTGACTTTCAACCAGATATTCTTAAAATCCTGCTTCTAGATCATAAACGAGTTGTATTGTTTGAATCAGCACGTCGAAGTCTATATCCTAGACTTTTTTTTTGTAAATTTTCGACATTTTTGCGGTTTTTTAAAATTTTGCATTTAGATAATTTTGACGCAAACTCAATTTCTCAATTTGTGACGTTTTCTCGATCGGCTTCTAAAATTACCTGAAGAGATTTTTTTCTTAGATTTCGACGTTCAGAAATTATTATTAGATTTTGTTCTTCGAAAATTTCTAATATTTTTCCCAAAAAATAGAATTCAAACCCGAATATTTCTAAAACCACTTCATAAACACGATTTTTTTCGTAATATTAGATTAACTTAGATTTTCTGGAGTAGATATTGTTAAATAATTTCCAAAAAAATATCCTATGATTCCTCCAGGACTTTCGATATTCGGCTGCAGTTTTGTTGCTCAGTTTTACATATTTTTTTATGTATTTAGGTAATTTTGACATCAACTCAATTTCTCAGTTTTCGACATTTTTCGATCACTTCTTAAAATTAAATGAAGAGTTTTTTTTTTTGTAAATTTTTACCTGTTGAGGTTATTTTCAGATTCATTCTACGAGTAGTCCTAATTTTTTTCCAAAATCTCGAAATAATTTGGTTTTTAAACCGAACATTCTTAAAATTTTTGTGAATTTTTGGTCAACTTTTCAATTTTCGACCTTTTTTCGACTTATAGAAAATTACCTGAAAAGATTTCTTTCTTAGATTTTGATGTTCAGAAATTATTTTTAGTTTTTGTTCTTCGAAGATTTCTAAAATTTTTTTCAAAATCGCCGATTTTTTGAAATGCGCAAAAAAATTAAATTCAAACCCGTAGATTTCTAAAACCACTTTCCATAAACACGATTTTTTTCATAATTTTCTACCACTTAGATTTTTTGGAGTTGTGCTAAACACATCTGGAACTCAGGTCATTGTAATCTTCTACATATTTTTTTATGTAAGTATTTGGGCAATTTTGACATAAACTCAATTTCTCAATTTTTGATGTTTTTGGACCACTTCCTAAAATATTTTGTTTTGTAAATTTTGACCTCCGGAGGTTCTTTTAGGATTCATTTCTACGAATACTCCTAACTTTTCTCCAAAATCTCCAATACAAAAGTCAGCAGTCTTTGGAATTTTTAAACATTAGATTTTCAAACCGAACATTCTTAAAATCCTGCTCTGGGATCATCAAGACGCTATATTTTTCGAATGAGTACGTCAAAATCTATATCCCAGAATTTTTTGTGATTTTTTATACAAAATTTCAAAAAGTTCTATTTTTAAACTTTCGACTTTTTTAAAATTTAAAAATTACCTGAAGACATTTTTTCATAGATTTCGACCTCCACAAATTATTTTTAGTTTTTGTTGTAACAAATTTTCGAAATATTGAAAAATAACTTTTCTGACATTTTTTCTTAATTTTTACCACTTAGATTTTGTAGAGTTTTGCTCAATAATTTCTAAAAGAAAAAGCAAAGATCGCTCCAGGGTTTTCGAAATTCATTTGCAGTCGTCGAAATTTTCCATCTGGATTTTTTTTTATATTTAGGTAATTTTGACAAAATTCAAATTTTTTATTTTTCCACGTTTTTTCAATCACTTTCTAAATTACCTAAACAGATTTTTTTGTTGATTTTGACCTCCAGAAGATATTTTCGGCTTGATTTCTTCCAATATTCCTAGCATACTTTCTAAATCTCCAACATAAAATTTGGCAGATTTTAGAATTTTAAAAATTTGGCTTTCAAACCAAATGTTCTTAAATGTTGCTCCGACATCATAAACGAACTATATTTTTCGAATGAGCACTTCGAAGTTATCCCAGAATTTTTTCTGAATTTTTGGTTAATTTTTCAATTTTTGACGTTTTTTCGACTTTCGAAAATTATCTGAAGAGGTTTTTTCTTAGACTTCGACGTTCAAAAATTATTTTTAGTTTTTGGTTTTCGAAAATTTCTAAGATTGCTACAGGCTTTTCGAGATTCGACTGCAGTTCGCCGAAATCTTCTATCTGATTTTTTTTTTGTATTTAGGTAATTTCTTTACAAAAACTTAATTTCCCAAATTTCGACGTTTTTTCGTTCACCTCCTAAAACCACCCAAAGAACTTTTTTTGTAGATTTTGACCTCCAAGAGTTATTTTCAGATTCCTTTCTTCGAATACTCTTAACACTTTCCCAAAATTTCTAATATAAAATTTAGCAGATTTTAGAATTTTTAAACACATGATTTTCAAATTTTCGAACTTTTTTAGACTTTCGAAAATTATCTGAAAAAATGTTTTCATTGATTTCAACCTGCACAAATTATTCTTAATTTTTGTTCTTCAAAAATTTCTAATATATATATTTTCCAAATATTGAAATTAGATTATTTTTCATAATTTTTAACACTTAAATTTTTTCAGGGGTTATTCTAAATAATTTAAAAAAAATTCTAAAATTGCTTCAGGGTTTTCGAAATCCGTCTGCATTCATCGAAATTTTCTATCTAAAATTCAATTTCTCAATTTTCCACATTTTCTCGTTCACCACCTAAAGTTACCTAAAGAATTTTTTTTGTAGATTTTTCCTTCCAGAAGTTATTTTCGGAACCATTTCTACTAATACTTTTTTAGAATTTTTAAAAATTTGATTTTCAAACTCAACACTCTTAAAATCTTGCTCCGAGATCATAAACACGTTATATTTTTCGAATCAGCACGTCGAAATCTATATCCCAAGATTTTTGGTAATTTTTTAGACAAGATTTCGAAAAAATTCAATCAAAATATTTTCTAAAATCAAAAAGTCGATTAATCGAAAAAGTGAGAAAAATCGAAAATTTAAAAAGCCGAAAAATCGTAAAATCGAGATTTCGAAACGAAAATTTTAAATAAAAAAATTCGAAAAATTGAAAAATTGTGAAATCCAGGCATCAAAAATCGATCAAATGAAATATCTGAAATTTAAAAATGTGAAAAATGAAAAAAGCAAAAATTCGAGAAATCGAAATTCTGAAAAACTGAAAAAAAATGAGAAATAGAAAAATGAGAAATCGAAATTCGAGAAATCCAAAAGTCGAAAAATCAAAAAGTCGATTAATCGAAAAAGTGAGAAAAATCGAAAATTTAAATAACGGAAAAATCGTAAACGAAAAATGGAAAAAGTAGAAACTCGAGAAATCGAAATTTTTGAAAAACCGATGAAAAATTGAAAAGTAGAAAAATTGAAAAATTGAAAATTCTAGAAATCCAAAAGTCGAGAAATCGAAAAATCACAAAGTCGATTAATCGAAAAAGTGAGAAAAATCGAAAATTTAAAAAATCTAAAAATTGAAGAGTTGAAAAATCGAGAAATTAAGAAGTCGGGAAAACGAAACACTAAAAAATCGAGAATTGGGAAAAAATCAAATAATCAAAAAATTTAAACATCAAGAATGAAAAGTCGAAAAATTAAAAAGTCGAAATATTGGAAGAATCGAGAAACTGAAAAATCGAAAAATCAGACATTTAAAAAATTGGAACACCTAAAAATTTAAAACGGAAAATTCGAGAAATCGAAAATGAACAACTGAAATATGGAGAAATAGAAAAATTGAAAAATCATCTTAGTGTCTTTTTTCCTTTTTTCGAACGAGTTTGAAAAATCTTGTGTGTCTCTAGTACCCCATTTTCTAAAAACTGGAAGAATTTTGTCTTTCGTTGGGGTTTCTGGTGTTATATATCTGAAGAGATTGAAAAAATGTTTTTTTTTAAAGAGTTGCCTAAATAATTTTGACAATTTTTTTTCAAAAATGTCAAAAAATGTCACGTTCTCCAGTGTTCTTGTTTGAAAGAATTTGAAAAAATCCTAGGAGCCCCTGGGGTTTTCTTGCGGTGATGTATTTTCCACGTTGCGAGAAAATATCTCGGTGATGTGATAGTAACTGCCTAAGGGGAGAAATTTGTTTAATTTGTTTTTAATCCCCCGTACCTCAGTCCACGATATTATGAATTCTACCGCGCTTTTACGATCTTTTCCTAGGGTGGGGCAACGCTAGGTTGATTTAATTGCCGTTAATGAATTATTAGCAATCTTGGTGAGGAATTAAAAAGAATGGATGGCCCCTGACTAAGTGGATTTCATGAAATCTCCTGGCAAATACTTTTATCTGAACAAACTTATGACTGTTAAATTGTGTTAGAACCAGTTAACGATTAAAATCCTAACATGAACTGTGAATTTACGAAAAATAAAACACCAAAATTTACACCACATGTTAGCGTCGGTCGGAAATTCGCCTATTTCCGCTTAGAAAAAAACACAAAAATTAGCTACGCGTGTTGGGGAAATTGTGACGTCGTCGTCGTTACGATTAATTTTCATTAAACAAAGGGTTTCTCCTTTTCATTAACTACCAAACCAACTAAACTTAACCTAGCTTACTCACCGCGTGGTTTCACTCACAACAAACAAACAAAGTACTAGCCTCGCCCACCCACACTCTATTTTCTTAGAGGGTATGTCATTTGCCAAAATCATTTTTTTCTTAGCATATTTGGAAACATTACGAGCTTACTTATATGTACATGAGAGAAATTTTGAGTTTGTCAAAGGTAACTAATTAAATTTTGATTTAATTTTTTTTTAAATAGTGTATTGTTGGTCGCCTAAGCAGCATTGCTTATAAACCACTTAACCAAGCACAAAATGGGTCATATTTTCTTTTTAGTTGTGTATTACACTATCAGCAGTAACTTTTATATGATTCATGAGCAATTTTTTGTTGATTTATATTTTATTTATAGTATTTTCTACACTTTAAAGATACTGCACCTAATTACTGGTTGCCTATCTTTTTTTTTATCAATATTAAAATCCCAAAGAATATATTATTTGCTTCTAAACCATGCAGTAAATTAAACAATGAATTCTAAACGATTTCAATTTTAAATTTCTTCTTCTCAAGAAATTTCTTTTTAAAAATACAGATAAACACCTACGTTTTCTTATATTAAATACTACTTATGCAACCAACAATACGAGACTAGCAACTAACGTGTATTTTTGTCTTTTATAGTAAGCTTCTAAAATTTCATCAGTATACTTATTAAACTTTTGTCTTTTACCGAAAAAAGAAACACCTTTTTGAGAGATATATTTTGGTATATTTATACAGATTTTTGTTCTTATGACAGTTCAGAACATACAAGTAAATTCATTTATATAAATCACTTCAAACTAGTTGTTTCCGTTTGCTTTGTCCATCCTGCTTTATAACCTAGCCTGCATTAAATTCCAATTCGTGTTATCAAGTCCTGACTGAAACTACAACGCGTCGCAGCGACATAACAGACCAAAATTGATTTATGCAGTATAAAAAATATGATCCATGAAAAATGACTCTTTTTCTCCACTATATTCTGGTAATTACATTTATTTATTTAGTCTCCTCGTTCTTCAACATCAAATTTCATGTTTTCATACATTTGTCTCATAGTAGTACTTAAGCTAACTTATCCTCATCTGACTCAATTTTTCCTTCCCCCTCTACGTTTCATAGACGCTAAACACTGAGGACAATACCACTTTCCTTTCGGCGGCGCAGTGATACCAACACAAGGATAATGAAACCACTCCGTCGGACACTAAAACAAAACAATTAACGACTACCTCGTCATAAACAAGTTCTTACATCTTCGTTATCACAAGCCACCATGTCGCCATAGGACACTTGATTACATAGACAGTATCTCGGTTCGTTCGGGTCATACGTCCACTCGCCGTCGGTCACTTCCGCACTCTGAGACGACACGTCTATGGACGGGGACTCGGGGGCAGCGGCCGACAAGGGGGCGTTCAACATCGCCTGCATCGTCGAAGCCGACGTGGTATTCGAGTTACTGCTAGCCCATTTCCTTCAAAACATCGTTACCTCGCATACTAATAAAAAAGTGAACACCTACTTTTGTTTTTTCTTGTTGTTGGTGTGGTCCTGCTGGATCGCCTGGATGGCAGTTTGCGCCGCCCCGGCCAACTCTCTCCCGATACTGAACTCGTGCCCGTGACTACCCGTGTTTATCGCCTCATACGAAGCTTTAAGACTAGCCGTTCTTCTACCCTGCTGCATCTGCAAGCAACCGTTAGAACACAGTCGAAACTAGCGGACCGTTTACTTGTTGCGTGGTCGCGATGGCTTGCGAGGCGGCGGCCGCGATCGCCGGCCCCGCGCCGATGTGTCCTAAATTGTACGTGACGTTGATAACTTTTATCAATGATGAAATATACTTTGACAACTTTTCCAAAAAGCTCAATTTTTCAATTTTCGACTTTCGAAAATTACGTGAAGAGATTTTTCGTAAATTTAGACGTTCAGAAATTATTCGTAATTTTTATTCTTTGAAAATTTCTAACATTCTTTCCAAAATCGCCGATATGAAATACTGAAAAATGGCATTTTAATTGATTTGAATCCCAAATATTTCTAAAACCATTTCCGTATTGACTTTAGACTATTTTTCTTAAGAGGCACAACATACATACCAATTTTTTCGTGATTTTTTTACCACTTAGATTTTTTGGAATAGTACGAAATAGTTTCCAAAAAAAAAAATTCTAGCATTGTTCCAGGGTTTTCGATATACGTCTGCAATTTTGGGGCTCAATTCGTTCAAATCTTTTATCTGGATTTTTTTATATATAGGTAATTTTTTACAAAAATTCAATTTCTTAAATTTCGTTCACCTAAAATTAAAATTTTTAATGATTTTTTTCATTATTTTTTACCTCTTGAAAATTTTTTTTGTACATTTTAAAAATTTGACTTTCAACCAGATATTCTTAAAATCCTGCTTCTAGATCATAAACGAGTTGTATTGTTTGAATCAGCACGTCGAAGTCTATATCCTAGACTTTTTTTTTTGTAAATTTTCGACATTTTTGCGGTTTTTTTAAATTTTGTATTTAGATAATTTTGACGAAAACTCAATTTCTCAATTTGTGACGTTTTCTCGATCGGCTTCTAAAATTACCTGAAGAGATTTTTTTCTTAGATTTCGACGTTCAGAAATTATTATTAGATTTTGTTCTTCGAAAATTTCTAATATTTTTCCCAAAAAATAGAATTCAAACCCGAATATTTCTAAAACCACTTCATAAACACGATTTTTTTCGTAATATTAGATGAACTTAGATTTTCTGGAGTAGATATTGTTACATAATTTCCAAAAAAATATCCTATGATTCCTCCAGGACTTTCGATATTCGGCTGCAGTTTTGTTGCTCAGTTTTACATATTTTTTTATGTATTTATGTAATTTTGACATCAACTCAATTTCTCAGTTTTCGACATTGTTCGATCACTTCTTAAAGTTAAATGAAGAGTTTTTTTTTTTGTAAATTTTGACCTGTAGAGGTTATTTTCAGATTCATTCTACGAGTAGTCCTAGTTTTTTTCCAAAATCTCGAAATAATTTGGTTTTTAAAGCGAACATTCTTAAAATGTTTGCGAATTTTTGGTCAACTTTTCAATTTTCGACCTTTTTTCGACTTATAGAAAATTACCTGAAAAGATTTCTTTCTTAGATTTTGATGTTCAGAAATTATTTTCAGTTTTTGTTCTTCGAAGATTTCTAAAATTTTTTTCAAAATCGCCGATTTTTTGAAATGCGCAAAAAAATTAAATTCAAACCCGTAGATTTCTAAAACCACTTTCCATAAACACGATTTTTTTCATAATTTTCTACCACTTAGATTTTTTGGAGTTGTGCTAAACACATCTGGAGGTCAGGTCGTTGTAATCTTCTACATATTTTTTTATGTAAGTATTTGGGCAATTTTGACATAAACTCAATTTCTCAATTTTTGATGTTTTTGGACCACTTCCTAAAATATTTTTTTTTGTAAATTTTGACCTCCGGAGATTATTTTAGGATTCATTTCTACGAATACTCCTAACTTTTCTCCAAAATCTCCAATACAAAAGTCAGCAGTCTTTGGAATTTTTAAACATTAGACTTTCAAACCGAACATTCTTAAAATCCTGCTCTGGGATCATCAAGACGCTATATTTTTCGAATGAGTACGTCAAAATCTATATCCCAGAATTTTTTGTGATTTTTTAGACAAAATTTCAAAAAGTTCTATTTTTAAACTTTCGACTTTTTTAAAATTTTGAAAATTACCTGAAGAAATTTTTTCATAGATTTCGACCTCCACAAATTATTTTTAGTTTTTGTTGTAACAAATTTTCGAAATATTGAAAAATAACTTTTCTGACATTTTTTTCTTAATTTTTACCACTTAGATTTTGTAGAGTTTTGCTCAATAATTTCCAAAAGAAAAAGCAAAGATTGCTCCAGGGGTTTCGAAATTCATTTGCAGTCGTCGAAATTTTCCATCTGGATTTTTTTTATATTGAGGTAATTTTGACCAAAATGCAATTTCTCAGTTTTCCACGTTTTTTCGATCACTTTTTAAATTACCTAAACAGATTTTTTTGTAGATTTTGACCTCCAGAAGACATTTTCGGCTTGATTTCTTCGAATATTCCTAGCATACTTTCTAATAAATCTCCAACATAAAATTTGGCAGATTTTAGAATTTTAAAAATTTGGCTTTCAAACCAAATGTTCTTAAAACTTGCTCCGACATCATAAACGAACTATATTTTTCGAATGAGCACTTCGAAGTTATCCCAGAATTTTTTCTGAATTTTTGGTTAATTTTTCAATTTTTGACGTTTTTTCAACTTTCGAAAATTATCTGAAGAGGTTTTTTCTTAGACTTCGACGTTCAAAAATTATTTTTAGTTTTTGGTTTTCGAAAATTTCTAAGATTGCTACAGGCTTTTCGAGATTCGACTGCAGTTCGCCGAAATCTTCTATCTGATTTATTTTTGTATTTAGGTAATTTCTTTACAAAAACTCAATTTCACAAAATTCGACGTTTTTTCGTTCACCTCCTGAAACCACCCAAAGAACTTTTTTTGTAGATTTTGACCTCCAAGAGTTATTTTCAGATTCCTTTCTTCGAATACTCTTAACACTTTCCCAAAATCTCTAATATAAAATTTAGCAGATTTTAGAATTTTTAAACACATGATTTTCAAATTTTCGAACTTTTTTAGACTTTCGAAAATTATCTGAAAAAAATTTTTCATTGATTTCAACCTGCACAAATTATTCTTAATTTTTGTTCTTCAAAAATTTCTAATATATATATTTTCCAAACATTGAAATTAGATTATTTTTCATAATTTTTAACACTTAAATTTTTTCAGGAGTTATTCTAAATAATTTCAAAAAAATTCTAAAATTGAAATCCGTCTGCATTAATCGAAATTTTCTATCTAAAATTCAATTTCTCAATTTTCCACATTTTCTCGTTCACCACCTAAAATTACCTAAAGAATTTTTTTTATAGAGTTTTACTTCCAGAAGTTATTTTCGGAACCATTTCTACTACTACTTTTTTAGAATTAATAAAAATTTGATTTTCAAACTCAACACTCTTAAAATCTTGCTCCGAGATCATAAACACGTTATATTTTTCGAATCAGCACGTCGAAATCTATATCCCAAGATTTTTGGTAATTTTTTAGACAAGATTTCGAAAAAATTCAATTAAAATATTTTCTACTTTTTTAATTTTTTTCATAGATTTTGACCTCCACAAATTATTTTTTGTTTTTGTTCTTAGAAAATTTCTATTTCTACATTATAGATAATTACTGGTTGCCTATCTTTTTTGAATCAATATTTAAACTACAAAAAATATACTCTTTGCTTCTTGATTAAACCATGCAGTAAATTAAACAATGAATTCTAAAAGATTACAATTTTAAGTTTCTTCGTCTCAAGAAATTTCTTTTTTAAAATATAGGTAAACAGCTAGTTTTTCTTAAATTAAGTAATACTTATGCAACCAACAATACTACGAGAATTGTCCACTAACATGTATTTTTGTCTATTATAGTAAGCTTCTAAAATTTCATCAGTAGACTTTAAAAAAGAAACACCTTTTTGGGAGATATATTTTGGTATATTTATACAGATTTTTGTTCTTATGACAGTTCAGAACATACAAGTAAATTCATTTATATAAATCACTTCAAACTAGTTGTTTCCGTTTGCTTTGTCCATCCTGCTTTATAACCTAGCCTGCATTAAATTCCAATTCGTGTTATCAAGTCCTGACTGAAACTACAACGCGTCGCAGCGACATAACAGACCAAAATTGATTCATGCAGTATAAAAAATATGATCCATGAAAAATGACTCTTTTTCTCCACTATATTCTGGCAATTACATTTAGTTATTTAGTCTCCTCGTTCTTCAACATCAAATTTCATGTTTTCATACATTTGTCTCATAGTAGTACTTAAGCTAACTTATCCTCATCTGACTCAATTTTTCCTTCCCCCTCTACGTTTCATAGACGCTAAACACTGAGGACAATACCACTTTCCTTTCGGCGGCGCAGTGATACCAACACAAGGATAATGAAACCACTCCGTCGGACACTAAAACAAAAAAATTAACGACTACCTCACCATAACCAAGTTCTTACATCTTCGTTATCACAAGCCACCATGTCGCCATAGGACACTTGATTACACAGACAGTATCTCGGTTCGTTCGGGTCATACGTCCACTCGCCGTCGGTCACTTCCGCACTCTGAGACGACACGTCAATGGACGGCGACTCGGGGGCGGCGGCCGACAAGGGGGCGTTCAACATCGCCTGCATCGTCGAAGCCGACGTGGTATTCGAGTTACTGCTAGCCCATTTCCTTCAAAACATCGTTACCTCGCATACTAATAAAAAAGTGAACACCTACTTTTGTTTTTTCTTGTTGTTGGTGTGGTCCTGTTGGATCGCCTGGATGGCAGTTTGCGCCGCCCCGGCCAACTCTCTCCCGATACTGAACTCGTGCCCGTGACTACCCGTGTTTATCGCCTCATACGAAGCTTTAAGACTAGCCGTCCTTCTACCCTGCTGCATCTGCAAGCAACCGTTAGAACACAGTCGAAACTAGCGGACCGTTTACTTGTTGCGTGGCCGCGATGGCTTGCGAGGCGGCGGCGGCGATCGCCGGCCCCGCGCCGATGTGTCCTAGATTGTACGTGACGTTGGATTGGGCTGGCGGCGTGGACTGTCCTATGGCGCTGTGGCGTGTTTCGACCAGCGGAATCGGAGCCACCGCTTGTCGTTTTTCGGAGAACGCCGGCTGCAGCGAGTTGCTGCTGTCGCGACGCTTCTCGCTTCTTTGTCTGTATCGAAAACTACTGGAACTGTAGGAAGAGTAGTGTAAGCAACAAAAATAGGTCCGTGTGGAAGTACCTTTCATATCTATTTTCTTTCTGTTGCTGTGACGTCATATTGGTTGAATTAACGGGAGTATCTAACTCCAGTGACCGTTTTTCTAAAACTTCCGTTATACCTTTATTGTCGGCCTCTAGTTCGCATTTAAATTTGTGCAGTTCAGTGTCCAGGCGACGTAAATACTTATCAACCAATTCGTACATCTGATTCGCTAAGTGAACCTTTAGATATTTCCACGTAATTTTTGTTGGTTTGTAGTTCGGGATCTGAGGCTCGGGATTTAGTCGCAAAATTTACGCGAGGTTTAGTTTGACAGTTAAACGTGGTTGTTTGTATGTTTCAACAAGATAGTGCGCAGCCACATTTCTAGAGGATGTTTACATGAGCATCTTAGACGGCCGGATTTATTGCCAACCGAACAACTACATAATTAAATTCCGAGATTTAAGTCAACGGAGACGTTTTACTAGTGTTTAAAGAATTTCCACTATCTTACTGTCTTGCAGTGCTTATTATATATCATCTAATAAAAAAATCGTTGAAGTCTGAATAATTTTCTTTTTTAATAAAAAATATATAACGAGTTTTTTTTAAATCGAAAAATCGAAACGTCGAGAAATCGAAAAATTGAAAAATCAAAAAACGGGAACATCAAAAATTGAAAAATTCGAAAAACTGAAAAGTAGAGAAATATCAAGAGCAATCGAAACATCAAAAAATCGAAAAAATGAAAATTCGAAATTTGAAAAAAAAGGAAAAATCAGAAAATTGAACAATCGAAAAAATAATAAATCAAGAAATTGAAAAATAAACACAACAACATCGAATAATTGAAAAACGGAAACATCGACAAATCCAAATATCAAAAGATCGAGAAATCGAAAAGTCGAAAAATATAAAATTCAAAAATTAGAAAAAATAAAATATTGAAAAATTCCCGAAACTGAAATGTTGAAGAATTTTAAAAATCGAAAAACCCATATCAAGAAATCGAAACATCAAAAAATCGTAAAATCGAAAAATTCAAAAATCGAAAAACGTAGTCTACAAATTGAAAAACTGAAAAATGAGGGAAAATCAAAAGTTTTAAAGTTCATAAATAGAGGAATATGGAAGAGCCGAGAATTCGAGAAAACGAAAAATCTGTAAAAAATAAAAAAATTAAAATAGTGAAAAACTAAAGAATAGAAAAATTGAAAAACTGAGAAACCGAACATCAAAAAATCGAAAAGCCGAAAAGTCGAAAAATCGAACAACCGAGAAATCAAATAATACAACATTTAAAAAGCCGAAAAATTGAAAAATCGGAAAACTGATGATTTGAAAAAATTGAAAATTTCCAAAACAGGAATGACGAAAAGTTATGAAATCGAAAAATTTAAAAACTGAAACATCGAGAAATCGAAACATCAAAAAATCGAGAAATCGAAAAGTCGAGAAGTCGAAAAATCGAAAAATCCAAAGCCGAAAAGCCGACGATTGAGACATAAAATTGAAACCTCAAAAAATTGAAGAACCGAGAAGTTGAAAAATCGAAAATTTGAAAAATGTAATTTAGAAATCGAAAAATAAAAAATCGAGAAGTCCAAAGGTCGAAAAACTACAGAATTGACAAATCGCTAACATGACATATCGAAAAATTGAAAAATCAAAAAATTTAAAAATCGAGAAATCGAAACACTGAAAATTGGGAAATGGAGTCCGAAAATCAAAAACTCGTACCGTCGAAAAATCGAAAAATCAAAAAATCGTTAATCGAGAAAATGAGAAACCAAAAAATTGTACAATCGAAAAATTGAAAAATCGAGAAATCGAAAAATCTGTAAAAAAAATAACAAATTAAAATAATGAAAAACTGAAGAATAGAAAAATTAAAACTGAAGAATCGAAACAATTGAAAAATCAAGAAATTGAAAAATTCCAAAACAGAAATGACGAAAAGTTGAGAAACCGAAAAATTTAAAAACTGAAACATCGAGAAATCGAAACATCAAAAGATCGAGAAATCGAAAAATCCAAAGCCGAGAAGCCCACGAATGAGACGTAAAATTGAAAGCTCAAAAAATTGAAAAAACTAAAATTTAAAAATTCGAAGAACTCAAAAATTAAAATATCGAAAAATTGAAGAACCGAGAAATGAAAAATCGAAAAATTGAAAAATGTAAAATTTCGAAATCGAAAAATAAAAAATCTAGAAGTCAAAAAGTCGAAAAACTACAGAATTGACAAATCGCTAACCTGACATCGAACAATTGAAAAATTAAAAAATTTAAAAATCGAGAAATCGACAAAACGAAACGCTGAAAATCGGGAAATGGGAGTCCGAAAATCAAAAAGTCGTACAGTCGAAAAATCGAGAAATCAAAAAGACGAAAAATCAAAAAATCGATTAATCGAGAAAATGAGAAACCAAAAAATTGTACAATCGAAAAATTGAAAAAAAATCTGTAAAAAAATTAACAAATTAAAATAATGAAAAACTGAAGAATAGAAAAATTAAAACTGAAGCATCGAAAAAATTGAAAAATCAAGAAATTGAAAAATTCCAAAACAGAAATGACGAAAAGTTGAGAAATCGAAAAATTTAAAAACTGAAACATCGAGAAATCAAAACATCATAAGATCGAGAAATCGAAAAGTCGAGAAGCCGAAAAATCGCAAAATCCAAAGCCGAAAAGCCGACGATTGAGACATAAAATTGAAACCTCAAAAAATTGAAGAACCGAGAAATTGAAAAATCGAAAATTTGAAAAATGTAAATTTAGAAATCGAAAAATAAAAAATCGAGAAGTCCAAAAGTCGAAAAACTACAGAATTGACAAATCGCTAACCTGACATCGAAAATTTGAAAAATCAAAAAATTTAAAAATCGAGAAATCGACAAAACGAAACGCTGAAAATCGGGAAATGGGAGTCCGAAAATCAAAAAGTCGTACAGTCGAAAAATCGAGAAATCAAAAAGACGAAAAATCAAAAAGTCGTTAATCGAGAAAATGAGAAACCAAAAAATTGTACAATCGAAACATTGAAAAATCGAGAAATCGAAAAATCTGTAAAAAAATTAAATTAAAATAATGAAAAACTGAAGAATAGAAAAATTAAAACTGAAGAATCGAAAAAATTTAAAAATCAAGAAATTGAAAAATTCCAAAACAGAAATGACGAAAAGTTGAGAAATCGAAAAATTTAAAAACTGAAACATCGAGAAATCGAAACATCAAAAGATCGAGAAATCGAAGTCGAGAAGTAGAAAAATCGAAAAATCCAAAGCCGAGAAGCCGACGATTGAGACATAAAATTGAAAGCTCAAAAAATTTAAAAATCTAAAATTTAAAAATTCGAAGAATTCAAAAATTAAAATATCGAAAAATTGAAGAACCGAGAAATGAAAAATCGAAAATTTGAAAAATGTAAAATTTAGAAATCGAAAAATAAAAAATCGAGAAGTCCAAAAGTCGAAAAACACAGAATTGAAAAATCGCTAACCTGACATCGAAAAATTGAAAAATCAAAAAATTTCAAAATCGAGAAATCGACAAAACGAAACACAGAAATTGGGAAATGGAGTCCGAAAATCAAAAACTCGTAACGTCGAAAAATCGAGAAATCAAAAAGACGAAAAATCAAAAAATCGATTAATCGAGAAAATGAGAAACCAAAAAATTGTAGAACCGAAAAATTGAAAATCAGAAAGCGGGAAAATCAAAAATTTTGAAATCCAAAAATTTTAAAAATAGAGAAGTATCGAAGAACTGAAAAATCGAGAAATCGAAAAATCTGTAAAAAAATTAACAAATTAAAATAATGAAAAACTGAAAAATAGAAAAATTAAAACTGAAGAATCGAAAAACTGAAAAATCAAGAAATTGAAAAGTTCCAAAACAGAAATGACGAAAAATTGAGAAACTCAAAAATTGAAAAGTCGGATAAGTCGAAAAATCGAAAAAATTTAAAATGAAGTAAAACTGAAGATTAAAATCACAAACGAATTGATAAAAGGAGAAATCGAAAAATTGAAAAATCGAAAAATCTAAAGCCGAGAAATCGAAACATCAAAAGTCTAAAACTTAAAAATCGAGAGGTCCAAAAGTTGAAAAACTGTAGAATTCAAAAATCCTTCAACTAAAATATCGAAAAATTGAAACATTTAAGAATCCATAAATTGAAAAATTCCCAACCTGAAACAGAAAAATGGAGAAATCAAAAAACTGAAAAATTGAGAAACTGAAATATCGAAAAAAGGAAACACTGAAAATCCAGAAACGGGAAGGTTAGAAAAACAAAAAGTCGTAAAAATTGAAAAACGAAACATCGAGAAATCGAAACATCAAAAGAACGAGAAATTGAAAATTCGGGAAATCGAAAAAATCGAGAATTTGAAATACACAGCTCAAAATCGAAAAAATGAAAATAAATTAAATTTAAAAATTTAAAATCACAAAAAAATTGATAAAACGAGAAATCGAAAAACTAAAAAATCTAAAATTTAAGAATTCGAAGAATTGAAAAATTAAAATATCGAAAAATGGAACAACCGATAAACTGAAAAATTCAAAAATCGAAAAAGTAAAAAATCGAAGTCCAAAAGTCGAAAAACTGAAGAATTGAAAAATCCTTCAGCTGAAATATCAAAAAATTGGAAAATCAAAGAATTCCAAACTTGAAACATCGAAAAATTTGGAAATCGAAAAATTGAAAAAATGAAAAATCTAGAAAACGAAACATTGAAAATCGGAAAATGGGAAAGTCAAAAAATCAAAAAGTCGTAACGTCGAAAAATCGAGAAATCGAAAAATAAAAAAGACAAAAATCGAAAAATTGAAAAATCAGAAAACGGGAAAATAAAAAATTTTGAAATTCAAAAAAGGAAAAAATTGATAAAACGAGAATTCGAAAAACCGAAAACTCTAAAATCTAAAAATTCGAAGAATTGAAAAATTGAACAACCGAGAAATTAAAAAATTGAAATGTCGAAAAATCAAAGAATCCAAAATTGAAAAATTCCAAACCTGAAACATTAAAAATTTATAAATCGAAAAACTGAACAATTGAGAAAACGAAACATTGAAAATCGGGAAATGAGAAAGTCAAAAAATCAAAAAGTCCTACCGTCGAAAAATCGAGAAATCTAAACGTCGAAAAATCAAAAAATCGATTAATCGAGAAACTAAGAAATCAAAAAATCGTAAAACTGAAACATCGGAAAATTGAGAAATCGACAAATGAAGAAATAAGGAAATTTGAAGAATTGGGAATTTAAATAATCGGAAAATTGCAACATTGAAATATCGGAAAATTGGAACACTGAAATATCGAAAAATTAAAAATCGATAAATTAAGAAATCAAAAAAATTGAAGAATAAAAAACTCAAAAATCTCAAAACGTAAATATCGAAAATTCGAAAAATTGAAAAACTGAAAAACATCCAGAGATCGAAACATCAAAAGATCGAGATATTGAAAAGTTGGGAAGCTGAAAAATTGAAAAAATTTGAAATTAAATAAAATTGAAAAATTTAAAACCACCAAAAATTGATAAAATCAAAGAAATCGAAAAACTGAAAAATCTAAAATTTAAAAATTCAAAGAATTGAAAAATTAAAATATCGAAAAATTGAACAAGGAAACTGAAAAATTAAAACATCGAAAAATTGAAAAATCCAAAAAATCAAAAATCGAGAACTCCAAAAGTCGAAAAACTGAAGAATTGGAAAATCCTTAACCTGAAATATCGAAAAATTGAAAAATCAAAAAATCCATAAATTGAAAAATCCCAAACCTGAAATATAGAAGAATTTGGAAATCGAAAAATTGAAAAATCGAGAAAGCGAAAAGTCGAAAAATCAAAAAAATTGAGCAAGTGAAAAATCGATAAATCAAGAAAACGAAACACTGAAAATCAAGAAATGGGAAAGTCAAAAAATCAAAAAGTCGTAACGTCGAAAAATCGATTGATCGAGAAATTGAGAAATCAAAAAATCGTGAAACTGAAACATCGAAAAATTGAAAATCGTGAAACCGAAAATTCGAAAAATTGACAATATACATGTTTGCAATTTTTTTTTTTTTTTTTCAAAAATCTTGATGTCTATAATTATATAAACCACAAACAGAGAAATACGTTATTTTATAAAATTCAAATAACATTTACAATTGTAAAATGTGGAGATGACGTCATTCCGTTGCTGGAGGGGTCGAGCAGATCAATTTTACTTAGCGTTTTACCATCTATATGACATTCCTTACATACATACAAAAATTGACAACAATCGCTCCGGTAGTTTCGAAGAATACCGGTCTAATAAAAATCCAGAAGATGGCAAACTGACAGCCAGACTAGTGAAACTAGAGACGGGGAGCTATTTTTCCGACTGTAGCGGTCATGAAATGTCGAAAAACATGAAAGTATCCAGTCGACCGATGGACTCGATTACAGTACTTCCTTAGCTGACGCTCGGGAAATAAAAATATATATGAAAATTAATGTTCTACGCAGCCAAATTAAATAAAATAAATCAAATTAATAATAAACTTCTGTTATAATAAAGCTCGCGATATTGTATTGTTGGTTGCATACCCATTTCGATATTTCAATCTTTTTAATGCAACGAACGGCTTTTATCGACTTAAAAAGACAAAAAAAAACTTAAAAATTGGTGTTTGGAGTTGTCATTTGAGAGATAAATTTCCACAAATCTTACAGATTTTTTCTGGTAAAATTATGTGGCAACAATAAACAAAAACTTTCCATACGATTAAAAATGCGTTAAAAACTGAAAAATAGAAAATTGGAAAAATATCCAATACCATTCATTCTTACCAAAATAGGGTTATCTAAATATCCTGTTCAACGTACGACAAAGTTTACAATAATTGGAAGACAAAAGAATCTACTTTTTTGCAAAAATAAATAATTATTTTTAAACTTCAAATTCTCTACAAAGTTAAATTTGTTTAAATTATGTTCTCCTTTGTAAATTGTATGAATACCGCCAGTTTTGTTTAAATAAAAATCTTAAAAGAAACTGGTAGATTTATATCTATGTTACAAATATAAATTTAGTCATTTTGCACCAACCTCTACAGAACTTCTTAACAGATTTTACTTTGACAGATTATTCCTTTGAAAGTGGCTAGTTAAGACTTGAACTTTACAAAAAAGAAACAAAAACTGCAAACTCTTCAAACATTACACTTAAAAAAATTCCATTTCAAACGTTACGAATAAATATCAAGCCTCAGACCTCTGACTCATCTAACTCTAGAATTACCTTTTCATCTGCATCTTCTAACGTCTTCTTGTATTCTTTCCCTATTGAATCAAATTCCGCCTTTATTGTGGGTGGCAGCTCCCCAGGACACCGTTTACAATCATTAAAAAAAACCTTGACTCGTTTCTCCAATTCATCCATGTTATCTAAAACCCACGCATTACTTTCACCACCACTAACCCCCAACCCTTACTTTGTACTGTCAAGTCCAGCTCCCTCATCTCCGTGAACCTATCCCTCAACTCTTGGGGCAGGTGTTCGATCACTGAAAACAATTTGAATTTAGCGCCCCTCGCAATGACACTTCTAGCCTTGACCGACCACGCCAAAGAAATCGTCTACTTACTCTCGAGGTAATCTTCCAAGTACAGCATTTTGTTGAATCGGTACCTCACTGAATTGAAAACAAGAGCACAAAAATCGGTCAAATCTACCTTTATTGACGAATTTGATTCCTAAATTTGAGTATATTTTCACACTGAATTCACAAGGCAAACGGCCATTTGCAATGTCGGTCGGGTTTGGCCAGGCGTGCCAACCCGGGCGAAAATCACTAACACTCAAGCGCGGGGTTCAGTTTGCCGCAGTTGGAAATTATTATCGGTAATAAGGGCTTGCCCACACGTCTCCCGTAACCCTCTATTTTTAATAAATGGTGGGCTCCTTTTATCACTTTTCCAAATACCACGTTCTGGTTGTCGAGGGACTCCATCGCGGTGAAAGTTATGCAGAAAAGGGAGTTGTTGTCGTGTTTGTGCACGCGACACATCGAAAGGACACCTGAAGGGACAGTGTGAGTCTTGGGGGACGTTTTAGTCCGGGATCGGAGAATTTTTTTTATTGCGATTTATGTTGGTAGTGGATGCACGGAATGACAGTTGATTGTCACTACAGAGGTATCAAAAATAGACAAATTCACTATAGACTTGAAAAAAATAGTTTCAGATCCCGGACTATTATGAAATGTAGTGATTTTTTACCGGTCCTCGTGTGTTTGAGCTTGTGGCCTTCCTCTGAAAAGTCCTTGCCATAGATGGACGTCCCGCCTCTGCCCGTCCCCAGCGTGATGTCCCCCGTTGCCAAAAACTTACCTGGCACGATTCTATGGACGGGACAGTTTTTATACGACAGCTTCTTCTTGTTTTGGCCCGAGCAAATTTCCAGGAAATTTTGGACGGTTACGGGGACGTGGTCGTGGTAAAGTTCGATCTCCATGCGGCCTAGGAACGGTCCATCCACAACTTGAAATTCGAGAAAACATCTGAAGCGACTTTAAGTTACTTTTAGTATGGGAGTGGTTGGTGGATTACAAGGGACGTTCCGACAGTTTCTCTAACCCGCAACTGATGGACGGTTCTTTTGAAAGCTCGTGGTCCAAGGGTGGTTTTTGAAGAATGACAAGAGGGAATTTCGACGTTAACTGCAATTTTTTGATCACCCCAGTCCAGAAGCGGTTCATAGCTTCGCGCTGGTAACTGGAACTCTTAACAGATTTTTGTAGAACTTTTTCGAAAAATAAACGATCGACTTTCTTATTACACTTACAGCTGACACGATTTTGTGGTAAATTGTTTTATTCTTGTTTTCGATTTTTTTCATCGTGATTACATGTCCTAGCCACTTGGACTTGTTGGCGTAGGCATGGGGGTTGTAGGAATCTATTCTTCCCTGAACTTTAACGTATAAGTGAGTGTAGACAAGGGTTGGGGTCTTACTATTGTCCTATTAACTGTGTTAATCGCTTTAAGAATTTCTTTATTTTCTTTGTCGATGAGTTTCAAACGTTCCTCATCGCTACGGAGTTTTCTGATGTCAACATATTTAAAGGGATTCATTTTAGGCGGGTTTGTGTCAGTTCTGGGTTTAGCGGTAAACACCTGAAACAGTTAAATACAAGTAAAATGTAAATTAAAGTTTTTTGCACTTACTTTGTACCGATGAGCGTTGAATTCGGCTAAATCCGTCGCGATTAGTTGGGGACTGGCCGACCCGATTAGGTACCTCGGAATTTTGCAAGGCCTAAACTTCTTGCTCTTTTTCTTCATGGCGAATGAAATTTTGACGTTGACTAAATATTCTGGAAAATGTCAAAAATGACTTGGTCACAATAATTAACTCAGTAAATTAATGTATGAAAAATTAGATGTGTCGTATCTTAGGTTTGTGTCTGTGTTGGAGTTAAATTAGGTCGTGTTTGTTTGTGAATAATGGAAGCAACAAATAGCCCTCCTGGACCCGATCCAGTGGTGACTAGAGTTTAATTAAGATTGTTCTAAGATTGTTTTTGCGTTTTATAGTCCGAGACCGCCGACATTGTGTCCGATCGGCGTGACATGAAATTAAAAGAAGCCGAAAAAACGATAGCCAACAAGGACGTGATAATACAGATGTTGCAGGAACAAGTAAAGAAGTTAGAACAGTGCTACAAACAAAATTTGAAAGAAACGGAAACTTTCCGGTACAGATTCTATCTAGCGTCAGAGCAAGTGACAAGACTGCGCATGTCCCCACAGGCGAACGAATCGTCGGAAAAGCCGGAAAAGTCGGACAAACCTGACAAAGACATCAAAAGCGATATAGTCGTTTGGAAAAATGAGTAATACTTGAGTCGGTCACACCACTGACTAAACACCAGTTATTTCAGATGCGACCAACTAATCTCGAAAGAGTGTCCAGCGAAATGTAACAAAACCTTCCAACAGTTTAAGAACATAGCAAGAATCATGAAAGCCCACTACGAGTTGTTGCAACTACTCAGCGAAAAACTTGTAGAAAAAGCTGGCGCAACCGAAATGGACCCCGCTACTCTAGAAAAACTAAAAAACGAACACAACGACCAGATATCGAAGTTACAGGAAGAAATAAATTCGCTGAAGGAAGAGAACCTCAGGCTGCAGCTTCAGTTAGTCGTTCAAGTGACTCCTCCAAGGGAAGACGAGGCATCGCTATCAGTAAGAGACTCCCCAAGTGCGTTTCCATCAGCCAGAGACAGCCTCCTCGGAGCGTATAAAAGAACCACCCAAGAACTACAAAAGAAAATGAGCAAAATCATCGAAAAAACTGGCTCTCTGGCGGAGGAGATTCTTCAGGGTGAAGAGGACGAGGACGAAAACGAAGAAGAAGCGTTGCCTTATAACAGTACAGGTTCGCTCAGAAGAGTTAGTTTTTCGAAGGATAAACTGTCAAGAATTTTAGAAAGTTCATCTGTTGAGGAGATAGTCAAGAGTCGTGAAGAGGCGCATAAGAAAAGTTCCGTGAGAGTGTCCAGGGTTTACTTGACAGACTACGTCACTGCTAGTGTTGAAAAAGTCGATAAAGCGTGTGACTGTAGGTGCAGAGATGCGGAGGTACAAGTGACTGACAGTGCGATTAAGACCGAACAACAAATACCCGAGGAGCCAGAAGAAAATCAGGTGGTTGAAATAAAGGCAACCGACGACGATATAAAACCGAGTTTCGTTCTTGAAAGTCCGGTGGAGGACTCCATAGTTGAAACAGAATTGCCGCAGGACTCCATAGCTGAAACAGAATTGCCGCAGGACGTGACTATCCAACCTCCAGACGTAGAACTGGAAAGCACCCGGTCTGTCGGGTTCGAAGCGTGCGCAGTTGGCAGTGACCCGAAACAGTCTCCAGAAGACAAAAAACCTTCTGGGGACGACAGTGACGATGCGCTGGACAAAACAGACGAGTTTTTCCAACAAATGCACAAAGAGCAAAGCGATAAAAATCTACACTCTCCGAGTATGACCGTTCGGGTGGACATTGACGAACTGAAAACCGACTTGAGCAAAATGCAAGCAGTAGAACAAGGCGAGGAACAAACTGAGCCGTCTATTGATTTCTCAGAGAACGCACCGCCTGCCAACACCGACATGAACGAAATGATCCTCAAGTTGAACGACATCGGGGACAGAGTGGCTGAATTGTTGGAAAAGCAGGACGACACGTGCAAAGAAATCGAGTCTTTGAAGACCGAGCTGACGGTGACCCGCGATTCCACTCGAGCTTGTACCGAGAACATCTGCAAACTCACCGAGACCATCGACGAACAAAAAGAAACCTTCTTGGACAAATTCCAGGAACATAAAGTGGTGACTGATAATTTGATTCACGCGAACGAGGAGATCCAGCAGGAGTTGGGTGACTTGAAGGAGAAGATTGAGACGTTGTTTCGGAATATAGAAGAACTGAATAAGAAGCCTTCGGAGACGAAGACCCCGTACAACAATAAAAATAGCGACGAGGTGATAACGATAGATCGGTTTCAACTGGCTTTGGGTGATAATGTACCACCGGCAACAGAGACGATGAAAAGCATGGGTGTGCATACGGTGAGTGAGGAGGCAGTGACGCTTGAGAAGCCGCAGCCGGTAGAAAGTGGGACTAAACCGGAGCCGGTAGAAAGTGGGACTAAACCAGAACCGGAGACACAAGAGGTACAAGAGAAGTCTGAGTGTCCGATAAAGTGTAAAACAAAAGACCAGAGATTGCAGTGTGTTAATGCGTTACTTTCGTATTACAAAAAGGTGCAGGAAAGTATAGCGAAAATGAATTGTGACGTGGGTGAATGTACGAAACAACAGTCTAGTGAGGTGCAAGGTTACATAGACAAGGTAAAAGAGGAGAACGTGAAAGTCAAAGACACTATTAGCTCAGTTCTTGATAATTTAGAAGGAAGACTGGGCGATCTTAAAGATGCCCAAAAACAGGAGAATCCTGTGTGCTCGCACACCGTAGTCAAGCAGCAAAGTGACAGTCAGTGTGAGTTGGACGTGTGTACTTGTGACAGTAATATGTGTGACGAAGAGGGTGTTCAATCAGACGTCGAAATCGAGGACATTTACAACGCAGTACGACGCACATTTCCACCTTGCCAACAATTCGCCCAATCTATGTCGTCTTGTCTATGTACCAGAACTAAAACTAGCTCGTTATGTGCTTGTCCTGGTGAAGGTAACTCAGAAGAGGAGCTCTACACCTGCCTTTTCTGTGCATGTGGGGAGAGCGAAGGCTACGTTAAGCAAAGTCAAAGCGAACCCAGGCAGCCCCACAACTTACGGAGCGCTGATAAAACTGACAACACTGGAGTCACGAGGTCCTGCGGCCTGGGCGAATGTCTCGTTCCCGTGGACTCGAAACAGCTATGTGAAAAAGAGTCGCTCATTTTGAATTTACAAACGTACGTGCGTTACTTGCACGAACAGCTAGATATTATTACAAGCATCGAGAGCAAAATTGAAGACATGCGCGAGCGCGTTTCAACTCACTAACGCAAGTTTTAAAAATCAAACACACAAGTGATTTGGAAGAAGTGTTTATGAAAACAAATACAAAGTTTTCGACGTTACGATTTTTTGATTTTTGACTTTCCCATTTCTCCATTTTCAGTGTTTGGTTTTCTCGATTTTTCAGTTTCTCAATTTTTCGATTTTTCGACTTGGATTTTTTAACTTTTCGATTTCCCAATTTTTTGATGTTTCAGGTTTGGGATTTTTCGATATTTTAGCTTAAGGATTTTTCAATTTTCTTCAGTTTTTTGATAATTTTTCGATATTTTAATTTTTCGGTTTTTCGAGATCTGGTTTTATCATTTTTTTTGTGATTTTAAATTCTTCAATTCTATTTAATTTTAATTTTTTTTTTGATTTTTTGACTTCACGATTTTTTGATGTTTCGATTTCTCGATATTTCAGTTTATCAATTTTTCTTCATTTGTATATTGCAATTTTTTAATTTTTTAATTTTTCAGTTTTTCGATTCTGCATTTTCAATTTCCGGCTGTTCGATTTGTTGATATTTCGGTTTCTTAATTTTTCGATTTTTCTATTCTTCAGTTTTTCACTATTTTAATTTATTACAGGTTTCTCGTTTTCTCGATTTTTCAGTGCTTGGATATCCCTATTTTTTACTTTTTTGAAGTTCAAATTTTTCGATTTTCCTGCTTTCTGATTTTTCAATTTTACGATTTTTTGATTTCTCAATTTCTCGTTTAATCGATTTCTTGATTTTTCGACTTTTCGATTTCTTGATTTTTCGTTACGACTTTTTGATTTTTTGACTTTCCAATTTCTTCATTTTCAGTGTTTCGTTTTCTCAAAATTTTCGATCTCTCAATTTTTCGATATTTCGGTTTAAGGATTTTTCAATTCTTCGATTTTTCAACTTTTGATCTTCTTCTCGATTCTTTAATTTTTCGATTTTTGATTTTTAGATTTCTCAGTTTTTCAATTTCAGTGATTTGGAAGAAGTGTTTATGAAAACAAATACAAAAGTTTTCGACGTTACGATTTTTTGATTTTTTGACTTTCCCATTTCTCCATTTTCAGTGTTTGGTTTTCTCGATTTTTCAGTTTCTCAATTTTTCGAATTTTCGACTTGGATTTTTTAACTTTTCGATTTCTCAATTTTTTGATGTTTCAGGTTTGGGATTTTTCGATATTTTAGCTTAAGGATTTTTCAATTTTCTTCTGTTTTTTGATAATTTTTCGATATTTTAATTTTTCGGTTTTTCGAGATCTCGTTTTATAATTTTTTTTTCTGATTTTTTCAATTTTTCAATTTCAATTCAATTCAATTTTCGACTTTTCGATTGCTCAGTTTTTCGACGTTACCACTTTTTGATTTTCTGATTTTCCCATTTTACGATTTTCACTGTTTCGTTCTTTCGATTTTTCAGTTCCACAATTTTTCAATTTTTCGGTTTTTCGATTTCTCGATTCTTCAGTTTTTTGATTTGTCAATTTTTTGATGTGTCAAATTTGGAATTTTTCAATTTTTCGATATTTCAGTTAAAGGGTTTTTCAATTCTTCGGTTTTTCGACTTTTGGACTTCTCGATTTTTGATTTTTTGATTTTTCAGTTTTTCAATTTCTCAGTTCTTCAATTTTTCGATGTTTTAATTTTTTAATTCTTCGAATTTTCAAATTTTAGATTTTTCAGTATTTCAATTTTTCAATTTTTCAGTTTCAGTGTTTCGTTTTCTCAAAATTTTCGATCTCTCAATTTTTCGATATTTCGGTTTAAGGATTTTTCAATTCTTCGATTTTTCAACTTTTGATCTTCTCGATTCTTTCCTTTTTCGATTTTTGATTTTTAGATTTTTCAGTTTTTCAATTTCAGTGATTTGGAAGAAGTGTTTATGAAAATAAATACAAAGTTTTCGACGTTACGATTTTTTGATTTTTTGACTTTCCCATTTCTCTATTTTCAGTGTTTGGTTTTCTCGATTTTTCAGTTTCTCAATTTTTCGATTTTTCGACTTGGATTTTTTAACTTTTCGATTTCTCAATTTTTTGATGTTTCAGGTTTGGGATTTTTCGATATTTTAGCTGAAGGATTTTTCAGTTTTCTTCAGTTTTTTGATAATTTTTCGATATTTTAATTTTTCGGTTTTTCGAGATCTCGTTTTATCATTTTTTTTTGTAATTTTAAATTCTTCAATTTTATTTAATTTTAAATTTTTTTTGATTTTTCGACTTCACAATTTTTTGATGTTTCGATTTCTCGATATTTCAGTTTATCAATTTTTCAATTTCTCAATTTTTCTTCATTTATATATTGGAATTTTTTATTTTTTTAATTTTTCAGTTTTTCGATTCTTCATTTTCTGATTTTTCAATTTCCGGCTGTTCGATTTGTTGATATTTCGTGTCTTAATTTTTCGATTTATCTATTCTTCAGTTTTTCACTATTTTAATTTATTACAGGTTTTTCGTTTTCTCGATTTTTCAGTGCTTGGATATCTCTATTTTTTACTTTTTTGAAGTTCAAAGTTTTCGATTTTCCTGCTTTCTGATTTTTCAATTTTACGATTTTTTGATTTCTCAATTTCTCGTTTAATCGATTTCTTGATTTTTCGACTTTTCGATTTCTTGATTTTTCGTTACGACTTTTTGATTTTTTGACTTTCCAATTTCTTCATTTTCAGTGTTTCGTTTTCTCAAAATTTTCGATCTCTCAATTTTTCGATATTTCGGTTTGAGGATTTTTAAATTCTTCGATTTTTCAGCTTTTGGACTTCTCGATTCTTTACTTTTTCGATTTTTGATTTTTAGATTTTCCAGTTTTTCAATTTCTCCGTTCTTCAGTTTTTCGAGATTTTAATTTTTTAACTCTTCGAATTTTCAAATTTTAGATTTTTCAGTTTTTCGATTTCTCGTTTTATCAATTTTTTTTGTGATTTTAAATATTTCAATTTTATTTAATTTTAATTTTTTTCGGTTTTGGGCTATTTCGATTTCTCAATTTTCCGATTTTTTGACTTCTTGATATTTTGATTTTTCAATTTTTCAATGTGTCAGTGTATCAATTTTTCGTCATTTCTGTTTTGGAATTCTTCAATTTCTTGATTTTTCAGTTTTTCCACTTTTCGGCTTTTCAATTTTTTGATGTTTCTGTTTCTCATTATTCGATTTTTCAGTTCTTCGATATGTCCCTATTTTGTACTTTTTTGAAGTTGAGAATTTTCGATTTTCCTGCTTTCCGATTTTTCAATTTTTGGAGTTTTTAAACTTCACGTTCTTCGAATATTCGATTTTACGATTTTTTGATTTCTCAATTTCTCGTTTAATCGATTTTTTGATTTTTTGACTTTTCGATTTCTCGATTTTTCGACGTTACGATTTTTTTACTTTCTGACTTTCCTATTTCCCGATTTTCAGTGTTTCGTATTCTCGATTTTTCGTTATCTCAATTTTTCAATTTTACGATTTGTCCACTTTTTGATTTCTCAAAATTGAGAAATGAAATGAAATCCATAAAATGAAAAATGTCAAACCTGAAACATCGAAAAATTTCGATGTTTCAGGTTTGACATTTTTCAATTTATGGATTCTTTGATTTTTCAATTTTTCGAAATTCCAGGAGAAGGATTTTTCAATTTTGCAGTTTTTCGACTTTTGGACTTCTCGATTTTTTATTTTTCGAATTCTAAATTTTAGGTTTTTCAGATTTTCGATGGCTCAATTTTTCGCCTCCAATTTTTCAATATTTTAATTTTTGAATTTTTCTTATTTTTAAATTTTAAATTTTTTTTGATGTTTCGATTTCTCGATTTTAGATTTTCCGATTTTTCAGTTTTTCGATTTTCGTTTTATCAATTTTTTGTGAATTTAATTTTTTCCAGTCTTATTTAATTTTAAATTTTTTATGTATATATCTCAATTTTTCGATGTTTCGACTTCTTGACATTTCAATTTCTCGATGTTTCAGTTTTTCAATTTTTCGAAATTTCTGTTTTGGAATTTTTGAATTTCTTGATTTTTCAGTCTTTCGATTGTTCAGTTTTCCGATTTTTCAATTTTTCGACTTTTTAAATGTTGAATCATTCGATTTCTCCATTATTCGATTTTTCGGCTATTCGATTTTTTGATATTTCGGTTTCTCAATTTTTAGATTTTTCTATTCTTCAGTTTTTCACTATTCAAATTTTTTAGTTTTTTATAGATTTCTCGCTTTATCGATTTTTCAGTTCTTCGATATTTCTCTATTTTTTACTTCTTTGAATTTTAAAATTTTTGATTTTCCCACTTTCTGATTTTTTCAATTTTTCAATTTCAATTCAATTCAATTTTCGACTTTTCAATTGCTCAATTTTTCGACGTTACCACTTTTTGATTTTCTGATTTTCCCATTTTACGATTTTCACTGTTTCGTTTTTTCGATTTTTCAGTTCCACAATTTTTCAGTTTTTCGGTTTTTCGATTTCTCGATTCTTCAGTTTTTTAATTTGTCAATTTTTCGATGTGTCAAATTTGGAATTTTTCAATTTTTCGATATTTCAGTTAAAGGGTTCTTCAATTCTTCGGTTTTTCGACTTTTGGACTTCTCGATTTTTGATTTTTTGATTTTTCAGTTTTTCAATTTCTCGGTTCTTCAATTTTTCGATATTTTAATTTTTTAATTCTTCGAATTTCAAATTTTAGATTTTTCAGTATTTCAATTTTTCAGTTTTTCGATTTCTCGTTTTATCAATTTTTGTTGTGATTTTAAATATTTCAATTTTCCGATTTTTTGACTTCTTATCTTTTGATGTTTCAATTTCTCAATGTTTCAGTGTATCAATTTTTCGATTTTTCAATTTTTCGTCATTTCTGTTTTGGAATTCTTCAGTTTGTTGATTTTTCAGTTTTTCCACTTTTCATTTTCCGAATTTTCAACTTTTCGGCTTTTCGATTTTTTGATGTTTCGGTTCCTCATTATTCGATTTTTCAGTTCTTCGATAAATCCCTATTTTGTACTTTTTTGAAGTTGAAAATTTTCGATTTTCCTGCTTTCCGATTTTTCAATTT